CTCACTGTATAACGCAAAAATTGTTTTCAAAGCAAATTCGTGGTGGCAAAGGCGTGGTTGATTTTTTCTATTTTAGTGAACATTTTTATTCTACATCTGGTGTAGATCATGAGTAGTAAGCAAGAATTACGATAAATAGAGATATTCTCAGTTTATTTAGTATATTCTGTGTATATTCTCAGTTAGGGATATACGCAGTTGACTGATAGAGTATTGATTAGAAATATATATATATATATACTTTGTACACTCTCTAAAGCTACTTTTTGAGTGTTGCAAGCAAACGACTACGTCGGCATTCTAGCCCTCGACGGAAGGTATGAAAAGAAAAATGCCGGAAAATAGGGATAATCTTAGTATGCTTAGTATTTTTCCAGTTGCAGTCCGTTGATTAATTTTCCCGATTTGCATGCAAGCACCTATCCAACGTTTCCGCCAAATTTGAGCTCGATGTGTGTATATCTTCCACTACAGGAGTGTTTATACTCTACACTACTTATCGTGGCGGGTATAGCAAGTTTATACGGACAGTTTGAATGCACAGAATCCTTTCATATAGAGACGCTTTTAATTGAAATTAAGCTTGTCTGTCCGTCCCTCTGTACGCCTGCGCCTAAGACGTCCGTGCACTCACGCTTGTTTTCAACCTACAGATTGCAAATTTCGAAGGATTTTGACCCAATTTTCGTATTTTGGTCCAAGAACTAATTCAATTGAAAATCCCGATATAACGCCTAATTTTGACAACTCCTTGTATAGCAAAATAGCATAATTTTCCGAATTTTACTAAACTCGCGACTGAAATCGTTTAGTAATAGTATTTTGGTATTCCAAATTGGTGTGATAACTTTGGGTTGGAGGAGACAATTTTTTGAACCCCTTGCCATAAAACCGTTCCTAGGTGTTCCTTGTCCTTGTTCCTTGAGATAAAAATGCTTAAATGTCGATGCATCGTGATGAAAATTGGTTCATAATAATTGGACGTAAAAATAAACCTTACCAAATTTGGAACCCGTAGGTCTATTTGTTCGACCACGAGCCATACAAGCGTTCTAATGACAAAGGCTTTACAACCCAAAAAGGTCTAATTTTACTATTTTATGGTGAAAATTTGTCCTTTGTAAATCAACTATAGGGAATTTGGATCACATAGATCTCTTTTTTAGACCGCACAATATAAAAAGGCTTTCACGAAAGTGAGACTTTATATGGCGACAAAGGCTAATTTGTGGTTTGTTGCGACGGCAGAAATCGGAAAATATTAAAAGCTTCGAAAATGAAGTTCACTAAGTTAAAACCAAGTTGACGTTTGAATCTTCTCGAATACGAGGGCTTTCATGAAAATTATGGATTTGAATAAAAATAATGTTTAATTTTTGATATATTATTAAGAAAGTGAGTGAATGGTGAATGGGTAGGTAATACGCCGACTTTGTCCGACTTTAGTATTGTTAACTTCATACAGGCATACAATCGAATAGATAGGCATACAATCGAATAGATAGGCGGACGGACAGACAGATACGCGGACGGACGGACGGACGGACGAACGGACATGATTAAATTTGATATTGCTTGCTTCTCGCATCATGTTGCACACGACTGACAAAATGAATGCAGTCTATCCTTCGTTGATGGGTATGAGAAGAAAGGAAACTGTTAATATCATTATATCCTATCCTGTAAACAAAAGGAAAGGGAAACTACAACCCTAGCATTGATTCGATCAAGCTACTTTTATTGAACACTGTCATAAAAATCTTGTTGTTTCATTTCTGACCATAAGTTGTTAATGAATGAAATTTATTTTATAATTTGAAATTTTCCGCGACTTGTTCAATCTCTTATCTACTTTTGATTGCCGCATATGTGAATTAATAAAAAAAATTTTAACAGCGGACAGTTGAAAGAAAAGACGGCAAGGTTATTCAAGCTAAAGTGAAAATGTGTTTATATTTTCTTATTTATATCAGGGCTAGAACTAATTTCTTATCGAGGATTTTTACAGAACACTTGTGCGTTTTTTTGTAAGTGTTTATCAAGCTGTGACCTCATTTTATTAGCGGCTTTTTAAAAAAAAAAAAGTAGTATTTTCTTGTTTGTGGGAATTTATGATGTGACTTCTCTATATAAAAATATCAAGTTTCAAGCACCTTACTGAAGGGCGAGCAAGGAAATTTATTGAATGTTTGAATAAAAAACTAGCATTCTATGTCAAGAGTCGACAGCATTACTTTTTCGGTTTAATACGAGAGGAGGTGCCGCTGAATTGCAACGAATGCCGATCTAATAGCGGAAGGGGTAGCTTAGGGAAATACTCCGGACGACAACCTATTTGAAAGTGAGGTAAGTATATTGAGTATATTACGGGTCGATCTAAACCGAGATCTACATACCTGTGAATAGATCGAAACGAACGCAAACGCTGCCAGCTGTAGCTGATGTAACTCAGATGAAAAACTGGTGCATAAAGACAAAGCCCATAATATCATGGGAAGATGGTAAAGTGAAATGAGGCTCCCCTTCACCCGTGCATTCAAAATAATTGTTTTTTTTTCATTTAACATTAGTTAAAAATAAAAGGTTATTATTTGTCTAAGTAGTTTTTCGGCAATTTACGACGAAAAATAAATTCGTTCTTCGACTGTCTCAAAAAGGTCATTCTAAAAGATAATAATTGTAGCGGCAAGCAGTGAAATTTAATATCTTAAATGAAAGGTATTTTTATTATTTTCAGGAAATACAAGATCTTTATACCCTACACCACTTGTGTGTGTGTATTAAGTTAGCGCTTCTTTTATAATACCGATCGATTCATAATCGTAATCTGAATTGATGTAAGGCTGTCTGTCTGTCTGTCTGTATGTCCGTCTGATGTCTGTATATTTTCTTTATAGATTGGTATGATTGTTGTGAATAGCTGATATAAATTTCGAGACGCGTACCCTGTTAGATTGCTAACAGCATTGTTTTTTCCCTTGCTTTAAGCAATTTTCTTGTGAATGATTCTTAGAAGAGAATTTGCATCAAATTTTCCCAAAAAAATGAAAAATGTTAAAAAAATAGTACGATGATAAGTGTGTATGAAGGTCGCAAGTGGTGCAAATCATTTAATGATGGTCGAGAGGTATGCGTAGACCCCGAATGTCGTTTAGGAAGACCATCGATCTCAATACCTGATCAGAACATTAATAAAAATAAAGAACTTTTACTTATCAACTGTCGATTGACTTAAAGAGATCTTGCTGATATTGTTGGTACACCAAAAGGGTTTATACAAACAATTTTGAAGAATGATTTGGACTTATTTCGCGTGTCTTTTCGTTTTGTTCCAAAAGGTTTGAATTTATTTTGATAAATAAAAAGATCTGTGCTCTCTAAAAAAAGATCTGTCATCTCAAATGTGTAATTACTTGCGATGAAACTTGGATTTATGCTTAGCCCAACAATCTAATGAATACCGTCCTGCAGGCGAGCTAAAAAACAAACCATAAAACGTTGACAAGGCTGCTATTGCCAAACTAACAGAACACATGTCGCTTAATTTATATCAGACGTTCATATTTCATTCATACCAATCTATCAAAAATGTGTACATATCGACACCGTAGTCCGGGTATTTTTAAAGCAAGTAAAAAATTTATATTCGGTCAAGACCGGATTTTTTACACTCATTATTTGCAGCTGTTTTTTTTTTTATACGGAAATTTATATAGTGTTTGTGTTGTATGTTACGAATAGCAACAAAAAAAACATGGAACGCGCACACACACACACAGTTTTTCTTGCATAGTCTTGTGAGTGTTGTAGGCGTGTCTTTTGATTGGTTTAAATCATTTTCAAAGTCTTTTGGGAGTTTGTAGTCAATTTTGCGAACAGGAGATTATTTACCGCAAATACCACAGTGCGGGGTAGACAAACAGAGGGAGAGATCAGAATTTATATAGTTTTTGGGGTCTTTGTACCTTGTTTTCGAGCGTGTCAAAGGTATTGAAAAAAAATGATATGTTGATACACTATGCGGACAAAGCGATGGACTAACAGACGAAAAGACAGGCACGCTTAAGCGCATCCCGAAATTGAAACTGATCAAAAATTTATATAGTTTGTGAAGTTTTTGAAGCGTGTTGCTGCGTGTTGCAAAAGTATAATGTTGGAGTGGGCGCATTTGTACGCATACAGCATGTAGAACATACGATATACCTTCAAATTTTTTGTAGTTTGCGAGTAATGAGGAAAAAATCAATTTTTTATTCCACTGTTGACGTGTTCTTCGATCAATTCGGGGCACTTTCAACACCAATCTGGGTTCAAAAACTTTGAATGTTTCTGCCAAGTTTCAAGCCTGTCTGTTTGTCTGTATTTTTGCGATCAAAGGAATATTAACCACACCCAGAGGGACGGACGGACATGTTTAAATCGAATCGGAATTTGATGCAGATCACGAATATATATACTTTGTGGGGACTCTGAAGCTTCCTTCTGGGCGTCGCGGTGTATACAGAAGATATTCTGCAACATTTTTTTTTGTATTAATATCTCGGATAACTGCGCGTTATACCACCGCTTACTGTATGCAAAAGCTAATGTTTATTTACAGTAACGTTTACGGAGAGTAGTTTAATTATGAAAAGATTTGAGGGAAACTATCACTTATAGCAGATGTTTACGCTAATATGTATAAACGACCTTTAAAGTCAGTCGAAAAGTATTTTTGCCCCAATCAGGTAGTTTCCGTAAGTTATACTTCAGTTTTTACGCGTGCTTTGTAACCACCCACCGCCGGTGGTAGGAATTTTGTTTTATTTCCTGCTGCGTTTTTTTTTTTTTTTTTAAAGTTTTAATTTTTTTTTTCATTTCAAAATTTACGTATTCATGGCATTTTCGCATTTCATATGTTTGTTTTTGTTATTATTATTATTATTATTGCCATTATTGTTGTTATAATCGTTATTAACCTTGTTTCTTGTTGCCGTTTTAGCATTCGAGTTCATCGCGTTAGAGGTGAAGCTTTCTTCATTTTTGATTTTAGTTGAAATTTATGAAATTTCATTGCGCAACGTTTTTAAGAACGGTATGGACTCACTAATACCGTCAATTGTTATCGACCATCCGAACGGTTCAGCAATGGACGCATGCTTTACAGCATTCGATAAAGACGGGTGAGAAAATTTCTATTTCAATTAATTTTCCATATGATTAACGAAAGTGTGTGTTTTAAGTTAAGTTAATTATGGAAAGTTTCAAATTGCATTTAACATACATACATACCTCATTAATAACTTATTTGCGTGTGTGAAATTGTGATAAACAAGCAAAGACACGTTTTATTATTAATCTATTATTTGAAAGAATTTTTGTTGAAAATTTGAAAAAAAAAAAAAAAATAATAATTTAAAAAAAATTTTTCATTATCAGCGATGGTCGTTTAGATTTGGCAGAATTTACATTAATTTGTCGAGCATTATTTCGCAATGATCGCGGTCATATATATGATGTTCCTGCTGAACGCTTAGAACAGATATTCTCTGTATTCGATACTAACGGTGACGGTTACATTGACAGGGATGAGTTCAAATTTTGTTGGAATCAATGGATAAAAACGGTAAGAGTTTGAACAATTTTTAATATCATTCATTATATGTGTATATACTTACATACAGGGTGGGCCAATGACGGCTTTTGCACCCTACACTAGTTGTGCTACAAGAGTGCGTATTCAATTTGAGCGGATGTATGCTGTAAGCAGTAGGAGGATTTGAGAGAGATCCACTTTTTTTATTATACCGATCTGTCCGTCTGTCCGTTGTATTTTCTACAGGCCGTAATTTTTGAAATATCTTGATGAAATTTGGTACCTTAACGTCTTCTGACCCACGGACAAATGCTTTTGAGATTGCCATAGGGGGGCAAAAACTCCGAGCTACAAGCCGGTGGCTATAATGGTACAGAAGTTCGACTTACTGCTCTACCCACCATGCTAAGCTTCTTAATTTTAACTTCACTTATTGTTTATCTTTTGACAAGACACAAAATGATTTTCTCAGGAAAAGAATTCCAATCAATTGATCACCTGATCAATTGATCGCCTTTTTGAAAACTGAAGCTTATTTTGAGGACTTTGGCAAATGGTTCTATAAAAGATCTTAGAGAAATCGTAGAGTAATTTTATCATTCCTCAAAGAAACTCCGTAAAAATGAATTTTACAAAAACCTTTTTTTCCTCGCTTAGATCAGGAGCTTTCCTGACAGCTCTGGCGTATTATAAAAGTACGATCAGGGTGGTTCTACTAAAATGAAAAAAAATGATTTTTTTTTGTCGAGAACTATTGCATCATTATCATCAAAAAATTTATGGTAAAAAGATATACTAAGTTTGAGCAAATGTGTGCAATACCTACAACGACGAGAGGGATAGACCCACGATTTTTATTATACCGATCTGTCCGTCTGTCCATCTATCCGTCGTCTTTTCTGTACGCCGCAATTTTTGGGACATTTTGATGAAATTTGCTACATCGACATGTTCCGAGGCAAGGAGGAAAGCTATTGAAAATGATTCGCATGGGACCATTTTTTCGATCATTATACTCGAAAGAAGTTGGGATAAATCAATCTATCATCATATCAATCGAATCAGAATCAATGCCTGAATCCGTTTAAGCTTGTCTGTCCGTCTGTCCATTTCGTGTCCTTACGTGGTGGTTTTGCGGTGGTGTTTTTTACACCGATATGTTTGGGGGCAAGGACGAATACTATTGAAAATGGTTCGGACTGGAAAGTTGTTTCCACCGCTATGTTAATAACTGTACGGTGACGTAGAGTATTTAATTATACGCCATGAAAAACTATACGTGTTTTACTTGTTTATGATTTAAAAATGTTACGTTTACGCAACGCGGTTGTTATTCTAAACTTTTGCTTTTTTATTTACTTACGAAACATTGTTAGCTAAGCTGTAAAGCTAATATACATAATTAGAAATAAAATTCAATGCAAGTAAATTAAAAAAAAAAAGCAAATATAAAAACGTGATAAGCTTATACATAATTAAGCCGACAATCAATGTGTCAAAGGCGCCGATGCTTTTTCGATTTTAATCCTATCGTTAATTCTGTCGTTAATACTATCGTTAATTGTAATTAACAGTATAAGTGTCATAAGTATATATAAGTATATATATATATATATATGTATATATGTATAGTGGTATACATCTGGCAACCAAATAATAAATCAGTTCAAGCTTAAAAATTTTCTTTTAATCTGAATTTGAAACGTGCCTATTAAAGTTATTCAAGTTTTATCTGCTTGGAGTATCTGCTATGAGTAATGTGCAACCAATGCTTTAAAAAACGTAGGTGCTCTTAGTTGACGCGGTGCTATGGGCGTGTCGTCCGACCGATTTGACGCATTTTCATTAGTAACCTGCGTGCAATTTTGAATCGATCGGTATAATAAAAGATGGGTCTACCTTAAGTCCTTCTGCATGCTACATACATCCGTACTAACTTAATGTGCCTTGTAACACAAGTAGTGTAGGAAGAATAAAAATGATTAAGCAGAAGTTGAAAGTTTCTCGCGAGATATCGAGTCCCTGGTCATGATATTGCTTTTAGTATGTGGAGAGATATATCAGTAAAAATATTTCACATTTTGGAAGTAGTTTGAAAATAAGTTTTTTTGGAAAAATATTTATATATTTATTATAATTACTATTACGTTAAAATGAAATTTTTACTAATCGCTTTACTACTCTACTCTATTAAGGATGGAGTTATATTCGTTTTATTAAAACAGTTGAAACAACCAGATGTAAGCTACAGAAATCCCATTGTCAGCAAATTTTGAATTCCGAACATGTCTGTCCGTCTATCTACCCATATGGTGCTTGTGGTAATGGACATTAAATAATTTCTTCCCTTTTTTCTTTTGAAAACAAATTTTGAAAAGTTGCAGTGTTTGCCGCAGAGTTCCTTTTCTTAAAGATGAGTGTGGGGAACGTCAGAGCCCGATATCTCCGACTTGAGGAGCTGTTTTGCTGCTCCAAATCAAACCTTTTTAATATATGTAGAAAACGTCCCATTTCTAAATCAAGGATTATTATAGATTCTTTACATATCAAGTAATCCTTTATTCGAGCGTAAAGTCATGTAGGTTAACGTAAGTTTTTTTTTCTGTTAATTGAAGCCGTCAAATTTTTTTGCTCCTTACACTATTAGAAAGTAAAAAAACTTTCGGTTCAAAGGAGGTTTCCTTTTCCATAGGAAGAGATATAGTGGAATAACCATGACAAGATTATTTGAATTAAAGCAAATATAATTTACAATCCAATATTATAAGCTAGAAAGAGGAAGGCTAGAGATATATGAGTAAATAATGGAGATAATGAATAAATGAATAAACAAATTGTCCGTAACAAGAATACACTGACAGAGAGAGAGAGAGAGAGAGGCTATAACTTAAAATAATAATAATAATTCATCTCGTGATTTCTTTCTAACATTTCTTGGAAAATCTCTTCAACTCCTCTACCGCC